TGAAAAATAAAAAATACATACCCCATGTCTAAATCAAGCTATAAAACATGAAACACAGTATCTTTAACACATTTCATACTGATTAATATGATATTTTATTCCCAGTTGTCGAATTGTTTATCTGACGAAAAACATTTCAAAAGTCGCAGTCAGTAAAAAATCAACAATATTTTATAACATATGCATTTTTAGCCGTAACACTATAACAGATAATAAATAGCTAAAATAACCTGTTTAATATTTTATTTTAATCGTGCCTACCTACGTAGTTATTATATGTGTTAATTTGTGTTCAATAACATATTAATTTTCTATAAATATAAAGATATAACATTTCTTCACTAGCCACGACAATTCAGTTATCTATAACCTATACTATAATTTTGGTACCTGTTTATTTTTATGTTAATGATTGTTTCAAGATTAGAGTAAGATTATGAAAAATAAAAAATGAGAAATGGAATATTGTCACCCACAGACCACAAGCAAAAGTATTTCGAGAAACAAAAAACAAAATTTAAAAAAATTATACAGTAAGAATACACGCGGAAGACTGAAGTCTGTAATATTCAGTTCAGAATAGTTATTTAGAGTGTACATAGTCGATAAAGTTTAAAAATTGTTACTTTGAAAACTTTTTTCAATCCCTATAAGTAGTTAAAACTAACAATTTTGTTAAATCTATGTGAATTTTATTTAATGGTTCCTCAACACTTATATCTTAAAGTCATAGGCTTAGTATATTATATATAGTTTAAGAGAAGTTATTGTTTATTCTAAATTATAATGAAATGTTCAATTGTAACTAAAATCCAGCAATATAACGTACTTTTTGATAATTAACTAGTTGATTTAGATTCTCAGTGAATCAGATAATACATTTATTAATTATTCTGAATAGAGCAATATTAATGTAGGTATTGATTTTTTTTGTGACTTTTAGAGAGCCTAGTTAAATGGTTTTTCAATATCTTATTTTAGCATCAGTTTAGATTGGAAAATCAATCTGGTTGATCTTACATTATTACTTTTGACAATTGGTATTATTTTTTTATATATGATTAAGAAGAACATAAAAAAAAAATCAGGAAAATTAAAATTAAAATTTTATCGATTTCATATTCTGTTATTGTACTTATAATTAAAATACGAATACGAATAACCGTAGATGCTTGAAATTTTCACCATATATTTATTACAAAAAAAAAATATTCATAAAATTCATAAATAATACTGAGGTTTAAATAGACTTCAATTGAAAATAACAGAGCAGATTTTGAACATCTTCTATCTACGGCCCCTCAAAATAAGTTATAAAATTCGCAACAGTATGTTATGATTTTCATAATATTTTTTCTCTACTTTTTCGATCTTGTTTTTACACAAATTTATCAAGTTCAAATAGATAGTTTAGTTGCTGAATTTTCATATATTTCAGTGTAATTTTCTTTCTATAATTATTATTATTGTTCGTAAGTCTCTAAATATTATACCTAATGTTTATTATATATTTTTAAAGATTTATCTAGATGAGATTTATATTAATTTAATTTTCTAAAACTAAGAGCAAAAAAAGTGTACCTACATTACGTATAGTGACGTAGATATTAAAACGATTTTGTGATTGATCTTACTTAACTAATTAAATATAATTCAAATATTTTATTATTTCTAATTAATATATAAATAGAAAAAGTTAGTTYTTGACACAACATTTTGAATTACCAAAAAAATGTTTTATGGTGTCTCAACTATGAATGACTCAAAAAAAAATGTATTTATTTTAAGTTAATTTTATACGTAATATCATTAGAACGTGACAAAAACATGTGTTGATAATTTATTGTTGTAAATAAACTGAACAAATTATAATAATTCAACAAATATAGTATATATACAATATACATGATATATAAATTCAATAATCTCTGCGGGAGGGGGGGGGGATGCGTGAAATTGGCGCCGTGCGATTCCCGTTTGGGTACATTTAACCTTTTTTGTGACTCGTATTTGCGTACAAATGTACAACTCAATTGCGAACACGAATTTTTAATACCTGCGATAAATGACCAAAAACGTAGAACTCGTTTGCGTACATCTAAACTATAACAAAAATCTTCTAAAACCCAAAACTACTAACAAAAAATATATCGTTTAAGATTTAAGTATTTCTCACTTAGAACTTAGGACTGTCTGAATGCAGCAGACGTGATTAACATTTTTTTTTWAAATTAATATTAAATTATATTTGTTATGTTCATATTTACAATTTATAATTAGTATATATAATTAATTATAATGCAATGCTTCTTTAATAAAACTAATTTATCGCTATAATATTTTATGACGATTTGTTTTAAATATTCCAATCGATTTATAGATTTGTTACATGATTATCAGAACTCAGAAAAACGTGTGTCCAAAAACTTATGTGACTACCTACTTGTATCTTATCGAAATTTGTACTACAAGTTACAATATAAGTCTAATTTTATAGTTGCACGCATTGAATTGTCAATTTTC